TTTTTTTTTTTTTTTTTCATATATATATAACAAAACGTGGATATCGTAAAATTACTGAGAAGTACTAACGTCAGGTACTAACTAAAGATACTAACTTATTCAGATCATATAATCTAATTAAACTCGTTTCAATTACATCATGTCTGACGATACCGGTACACGTGCAATTTCTATCAAAACCTGTTGAACGAGCACGCATCTGACCTACTTTTTCATCCGTGCTTGCATTGCACCACTGCACTTTCTCCCGATTCTCTTCCTCTCATGCCTGTTTCCATCAACTTTAGTTAACTTAATTGGCTGGTCATTCCACGAAATTGACCAATCGCATCTATCAATTCTGACTAACTAGAAATGCGATTGGTCAATTCCGTTGGAATAACTAGCTGATTAAACCAATCAAAGTTGGCGAAAACAAACATAAAGTCTGTATCAGACTGAGACCGGTGTCCCATTAGGTGCGTTCAGCGAAATCAACAGTTGCGCAACAGTTAAGCAATTCGTCAATGTAATTTGTTTAGATTTAGGGATCTAACAGTAATGGCTCCTGCACACAGGACGCGGTAATGCTTGCCGCGCGGTGGAAGTTCGCGCGACAGCCAATCAATATGTTGCTTTCCGTAATAACCTTCAGCTCTTACGGAAAAACAACATATTGATTGGCTGTCGTGCGGAATTCCGCCGCGCGCAAGCATTACCGCGTCCTGTGTGCAAGAGTCATAAGAACCAATAATCACGATTGCTCACTGAGCGCTTTTATCTCTGAACGCACCCATTCACTAAAATAAGGAGCGTCCCGATTGACCATGGTACGATTAAACACTACCAACCGATGCAAAGAATTATTTAGTGAATTACCAGGTCAAACCAATCATTATAATCTGTGTCCAATCGTACCGTGGTCAATCGGGTCCCACCTACTAAAATATATATTACCTGGGCCCCTATTCTTAAAATTTTTGTGTATACGTAATTTTCATTGCGCAACTATTTTATGGTATGATTAAATCTGCGTAGTAAAACTTACGTATACGTAACTATTTAAAAAATAAGGGCCCTAGAACGCGCGCTACCTCTTAGTTGCGTTCCAAAATTCTATTCGGTGGATAGAGTACATATAATTGACCGATTATGATAAAAAAATCCTAGTTATCTTTGTTCTTATTGGTCAATGAAATGCTACTCTACCCATCGAGTAGAGTTTTGGAACGCAGCCCTTGAGTTTTGCGGGACGAGAGAGAGCATGCTTGTAGGTCTCGAATAGTGCTCTGTCTTTGTCTAGTACAGTCTGAACCAAAAGCTAAGTTGGCTGATTTCTAAACATAAGTTGAATCTCCGATAGAAACTATCTTTGCTTTGTTTTTCTTAAGTCGATAAATGAATACTAATAAATGAGAAAAATATATCTATCTATTTTTTTATATCCTAAAGGTGCGGGTTCAGTGGCCGTAAACATATCCGTATCCGTAACCATAAACAAAATCGAGTCGTGATTGGTCGTGATATATATCTTACGATTATTTTAAAAATAATCAACTGTGATTGGTTAATTATTAATATAATATTACGTGATATAATTCTTATCGATGGATCCATCGACGAATTAAAAAACTCCCCTTACTCGAGAGAGCCTGCAGAGGCGCTGCGTGTTCGCTGGAATTTCTGCTTCGCTCTTCCATCTCTCTTATCTACGTGATACCTGTTCTACAGGCGGCCGTGCTTTTGTCTCGTCAGTGGCCGCTGACGCTAGTGCGTTACGTGTGTGTCAGGTTGTGAGTGCGTGTCTGGTGTCGTAAACAAAGTGCCTTCGGCGTGGCGAGCACGCGTTCCTGCGGATCCACGACGGATTTATGTACGACGCGAAGATGCGCGAACACGACGACCTGTCGAGGTGTTTCATGCCGGGCCATCACCAGCAGCAGCAGCAGCCGTCGCCGATCCAGGCACCGTCGCCGCAAGCTCCGGGCTTGGACGCCCTGCACAGCCTCTGCAGACAGATCTATCCCGACCAGTGCAATCCGCTCACAGTCACGGCAGTCGTGAAATATTGGTAAGCACGCCTCGACGACGCCGATCCCGGCGCTTTCGCCCGAGAGAAAGTCGAGGAAGCATTTATTTCGAGTCGTGCGGGTAACCCTGATTTTGCATAATATCTGGTACCCGTCCTGCCAGGTAGTCGTTAACAATTAATTTACGAAGTGAATGCATCGGTGACTACGGTGTCTAACGAGGCGGTTTATGTATGTCGTACTCCACGTAGCAGAAGCTTCTAAAAGTCATCTGCGAAAGTGAGATGTCTTTTAAATGAATTTAAGATGTCCTTAAGATGTCTCTTACAAGTTTCAACTTTGAGATTTTTCAAAACTCTTTAGCAAATATCATTGTTATGTTGCAATTGCACACATTATTGCATCTATTGTATTAGATTTTGTTCCTTCCATTGTAATCATTTTAATAGACCTTCATTTTATTAGATTTTTATTTCATTAGATTTCACAGATTTTGGAAAACTTTTTCAAGATTCTTCAGCAGTTGTCATTATTCTTATGTCATGTGTGTGTGTGTGTGTGTGTGTGTATTATTGCATTTATTGTAATTATTTTATTAGGTTTTTATTATATTAGATTTCAGAAACTTTGGAATCCTTTTAAAACTCTTCAGCATATTTATTATTTTTATGTTATGCACACATATATATTGTTGTGCATACATATTGTACTGCATTTATTATAATCACTTTACTAATTTTTTTATTAATTCGCGTCTCATACAATATATTGTTTATATATTGTTTATTAAAATATTTTCCGATACCGTGAAGGGAATCACTCGTAGAACACTCGTAGAAACTCATTTTATCGCTTCTCCCTTTGTGAAGGGACGAAGATTTCATAGACTATATTTAGCCTCCCTTCGTACGTGTAAAAACCGGATGTCCTGTCAGCTGATTCAAATTTTTCTCGCGTTTTCCGCGCAGGTTAGGAGGACCCGATCCCCTGGATTACATCAGTATGTACGCCAGTCCAGGATGTCCCGAGCTCGGAATATCTCCACACTGGCACTACATCAGGTAAGAATTTTCGTCAATTTTTTACGAGATGTCCAAAAAAATACCTGTCTTATCTGACATTAGACACGTTTCAAACTGTGAAGACTGAAGCGATTCCTTTTGTAACCTTTTTCTAATTTAAAAGGTTTTCCAAGTTCGCAAACACGGTTGAATCAAATAATCGAATTTAAGGCACCTTGTACATACTCAAGCAATCTCAAATGCTCTTTCGTCTATATCTTTATTCAGAAATGACACGTAATTTTCGTCAGCATGTCATTCCTCGCTTTTGACGTCGCGAACCCGACATGGCCGAATAGATACAAGGACCCTTAAAAATCGCGCCGTTTTCTTTGTTTGTGTATATCATTTTTTCAGAACTTTCTCAAGCAAAGTACGTGGCATAAAAAACTGGCGACGTTTTTTTCCCCGATGAGTTTCAATGCGAGAATCTGTTTTCTATTAATCCTCAGAGGACAAATTTTTCCGATTCGATACCAAACGCGCCCTCAAACTCACTGAGGTAAAAACTATTTGCAAAAACCGCGTATTTGGCTAAATTTAATCGAAACGTAAACTGACGCAGATGTTTGACGTGTGTGTAGGCGACCGATTCGCCTTCTCTCAGATACTCTATCGGAATCTGTGCGCCGAATGACGAATGACCTTCCGCCAAAGGGTGTGCCGGTTCTTTTTTTCCCTCCAAACCAGCGACCCTCGCTTCTTCAGTTTCAAACCAGCTGTCTCAATACTCCGACTCGTTTCTCTATATATAAGGAACATGTAGGGTGTAGGAAGAACAAAGTCGTTTAAAGCGCGGTACGTCGGAAATAGAAGCGCCGGACTTCCCCCTTTTCGTCTCTGCGTCGTCTAATTATACGCCGCCATTGACTGAAACTACGAAATTCTTTCGCGGCGCGACTGTGTGAGTCATTTTTCTCGCGCACCACGTGTAACATTTTTTCCCTGTTTTCTCAAAGACACAATTATGTTTAATTCTGGTGACATAACGAGGCTTTGAAGAGAATACGTATTTCATATTGAGCAAGTCGTATTTTATATTTATTCAAAATGTAACTCAGATTTATTCAATATGAGACAGGTTTATGTCGTAGATTTTAAGATTACGTTTACGCGGATTGCTTACGCATTTTCGACGTTATGTATACACGTTGTTTTTCATGTAGACAATTATCTGGAATGTTGTAAATTACATTAAAATATACAAAAGGGAGTAATTAAACTATAAGACAGTTACTGCATCTGTTTTGGCTATTAATTTTAAATGCAATGCTCAAAAGAGATGACACAAGTGGTATAAAATTTTTATTTTATTATGTAACAGACTGATAGATTTAACTCTTAGTAGATAAGAATATAACCAGAGAATTCTATGGAGATTCTAACTTGTTTAAGAAACAATATTGATAAATTTACACCTCTCTCTCTCTCTCTCTCTTTTTGCATATTATTCATTATTTTACATTTGTTCTGTTCAAACGTAGCTTAGGATTATCTGATTTGCACGGAGACGGCCGGCTGCATCCTAAAAATGGTCCGGGTCGTCCCAGCGGGTTCGGCTTCGAGTTCACCTTCCGGCTGGCACGCGAAAGGGGCGAGACGACGCCGCCCACGTGGCCGGCGAACATGTTGCAGCAATTGGCAAAGTATGTTTTCAGTTCCGGAAACACGGTGATGCCGGGTGACCACGTCTCTTGGCATGCTCCGTTGAACGGCGAAAGCGGTCGCATCACGCAGATCTTGATGGGCACGGATCCGCAGCTCCCAATGTCGATTTCCACACCCCACGGCGAGGTACATGGAAGAAGAATTAAACGCATATTAACGTTCGATTCATCAGAGTGAAGATAACTTTATAATTAAAATCAATCGTTCAACAGCTGCGTTTAGCCTTCAGTCTTTAACTGCAGACAGATTAGTAACCAAAGCGGATAGCCGTTTCAACAGATGCTGAGTGCGAATCACTAATTGTATCCTCTTTTACAAACAGGTCGCGTTCGTTCAGATTGTCGGCGTCACCTCTGAGGAGCTACAGGCCGCCCAGCACTGGAATGGCCTGGGCGTCGTTAACTTGCTGAAGAGCGCGCCGGAATGTGGCCCGTGGTTAATCACGGACATGAGGAGAATGCACTCCATTATGGAGAACGATCCTTCCATAGCAGAGAAGATACAGCACGGCATCGAGAGAGACGGATCAAACTTGAGCGGCGTGTCCGCCAAATGTTGGTGAGTGTAACGAAGATCAAGATGTCAAGCTTGTGAGCCACGTGAACGATTGTTTTCTAAGAATCGAGACAGTTAATAAGATACATATGCATCAATTTTGTCGCAGGTGGGTGCAAATTACGGGCGACAAGAGCGCAGAGAGATACCGAGAACGGAGGGACGATTCTGACGACGACGAGGGGGAGGAGGACGTGAAACCGATGGTGAAAACGGAGAGACTGTCGCCGTGCGAGCAGGACGCCGACGAAAGTAGTATTAAAATCTTGTCCGGGCTGCACCTTACGTTCAATCTCGAAGCCGGCTCCTTGCTGCCGCTGGCGATAAGGTTAGTCGTCGTTATTGTCGTAAAGCTGTTCACGAGCGCCGTTAGCGCGACGCCCGATGAATAACAATGAAATGTTGACGCTGCAGGGGTCGTGTGATGCACGGGAGGCACTTCACTTTTAAGTCCATATTGTCCCACTCGGCTGTTACGATAGTAGCACCGTCAGTCACAGGCACCTTAGTCGCTAAAGAGAAGCCGTACGTTCTTCAGGGACCGTGGCTGCAGGTTCTTCTCTCGGAAGAACTGTACGAAAGAATGGCTCAAGAATTCCAAGTCTTGAATACACCGGACAAGGTAATCATGTCATTTGAGATCGTTTTTAGATTGCCACGACGTCATAGGCACGCGACTCAGGATCTCGCTGTTCTTTGGAACACCTAATCGGTGAAGGATCTTGAAACGTCTTCTCAGTCTCCTACTGACGTCGACGTCGGTGTTTCATATATACTGACTAATTTATTTTATTGCAGATCCAATTGCCAAAGACATTCTCTTGGCCGGAACATAAATTAGTCATCACCATCATTAATGATTGAATTTCCGCGACAACGGCGCGATTCCTAAAGATCATCGCCTCGTCATCTGCCGATCACATATCTCTCTCTCGTCTCATTGATATAAATATATATTTAAGTTAGCGCAATAAAAGTATTATTGAGCCTCGTTCAAAATCGAGGTTTTTATTTATAGCGTCGACTCTGTATCGACCTAGCTTAAGATTTTTATAATTTATAAATTTTATACGTCTCTGTACGCGCGTGTTTAAAGGGGATCAATTCGCTCATCAATGTGCGAAAGCAGAGATTGGGTGTTTTCTTTAATAACAGACGTCTCCGTCGACGGACGTTTCTTCAGAGCAATGTATTTTTGTACAACGAATATTACCACCTATCTCTCTTTTACAAATTGATGCCTGTTCATATATACGGAAGATTTACGACATATTGTTTCTTTCTTCCATAACTCGTTGAACTTTCCACAAGGAAGACAGATAACTCCGTATTATTTGCGAAAACAAATATACGAAAACAAAAGCATGATAAAACGTCGTGAATCTTTCTCTGCGTGTGTATGTATTTAATTTTGTATATATAACAGTATATATAAATTATACACACTATTATACAGCGAAGTTTTCACATATCTCGCGCTCTTTCCCTCTCTCGCTTTCTCTCTGTTTCTCTGTAACTACAAACGACAGAAGCGTTCGTATTAATATACCTCGGTAAAAATGTATACGCTCTGCAGAGAAAGCAGATAGATTTTGCTAATGTCAGTTGCTCTTTTCCAGTAACGGCCGGCGTCGCCTGTTATTCCTCTGGTTCATCCTTCTGCCCGACCTCCTGTTGGCGGGACACGCATCCCGTGCATGACCTCTCGTCGGATTGTTGTTATTATTGCCCCGCCGCGTATTCCGTTGTTCGGGGACGTTAAACAGTTTCACATACGGATTCTGAAGTATCGACGTGACATTGCGATTAGTCGCGCGCGTTTAACCGCCGGAGTTTGAGGGGAAACGTACGACGCTGGACGTTTGACGTGTATAATCGAGTTGAACTTTTGTACGTTTCCCTTTTCTTTTTATTTGTCAGAATATAGTGATCGCTATGTCTCTCGGAATCTCACGCCGCTCGTACAACAGAGTGTTTGTTCAAATAGGTGAGTCTTTATTATACAATCAATGGGGTGATAACGAAGCTCACGAAACGAATCCATCCAAACAGCATAAACGCGTCTTAAAGACATCCTAAAATAAGTCTAAAAGTCTAAAAGAGTCATCTAAAATAAGTAGGATATCATTCAGACCTCTCTAAGAGAGACGCTCTTTAGACACTTATGCTGTACAGACGACGTCGATCGGACTCGTCGGGCCAAAAACCAGATAATGCACCGTGCGCATGCAAAATCGCGGACCTCAAGATCGCGATCGATCAGCGAATAAGGTACGAGGATATTAATTGTGGTTGGTTTACCTGGTTTTTGCACCGTGGTCTTCTCTTTGTCACATGGTAGCGATATCCCTCGCGAGACGCGCACATCAACGATTTAAATTTCCTGCGCTTCGCCGCGTTCGACAGTTCTAAAAAGCAGGGTACTACATTTGCGGTTGATAACAAGGGACAAATGCGGACATTTGCGGTTCACAGTGGGATATGGGAGCAAAACGGGACACTTGACACTTGTAAGTACTGCGGCAATTGCTGCGAGCAGCTTGGCACAATAAAGCAGATAAGAGCTTTTTTTTTCTCTTTCAAAAAAGACGCAAGTGTCTTGTTCTGATTTGAGTGATCTGTCGGGCGAGATACAATGTCTATTGTATCGAGCGAGCATTTTAAATTTTTATTTCTTCCTTATCAATTCTTATTCTTATGCGCTGGAATAAAATTTCTCGCGTAGAGTAAAGAATTTCCGAAGTTCATAAGTGCAACCGCTCTCAAGACTTTTCATTATTTGACGCGAGTTTCTGCCCATTGTTGACAGTAATGATTATCGTGACGATCAGCGTGACACAAGTCTGTCGTGTACTTTTCTGTCATGTATACCTTTCTCAGAAAGTTCACAAACATCTTCACGGCCCCGGTGTATAAGAACACGACGATGCAGGCGGAAGCGAAGTCTTCGACGTCTTCGCGGTTGATGCCGCTGGCGACGTTGACGATCCCTTGGAAAACATTGGCGAACGTCTGCATCGAATCGATGCACAGGTCTCTGAGGAAACAGATTACCTGTGAACGCAGTTATTCCTTGTATTCTGTCGCGTCTCGTCCCAGTCCTTTTCCTAACATTATCTTACGAATTCGCCGTATTTATCCACTTTGCATTTTTAATATTGGTCGAAAGTCGAGATCGCGAAATGTGTAGACTTTTAATTTCGATTCGATTTATCTTTCAATTCTCCGTATTTTATCATTTTCACCGTTGTGATATATTCTAAGTCATTGTTGCCAATGAGCGAAACGTTCACCTGAAACGTCAAATTCATCAGCACGAGTATCAATTCGATCATCCTCGCCCAATAGTCAAGCACGATGAGCAGGACGAGGTCGAGGGTCTCCCAGAGCCAGCAGACGACTTTCCCGAAAAAGCTGGCGAATCGGTCGGAAGGGATGGACACCCGTTTCTTCATAGTCGATTCTCGCTATTGAAATTTACACTCCGTCGTGAACGATTTCATAGACCCGAGATCTCCGCGTTGCTTGTTCAAAAGTCGAAGAGGCAGATCGATCAATCGTGTCGAAACAAAAAAAACAGAAAGAAAGCGTGGATCTTACGTCTGAAATCGCTCATGCGCTCGAGATAAAGAGAATATATATATATATATATATATATATATATATATAGAGAGAGAGAGAGAGAGAGAGAGAGAGAGAGAAAGAGAGAGAAAGAGGGAGAGTAGAGAGGAATGCTCGTTTAACAACTTCGAGATATACTTTATTGATATGAAGCGGTAATTATACAATCCACATATCGCACATGCACATTACTAGTGATAGCCAGAGCAGCAAGTCGCAAGTGGACTAATTAACTGTTTGTTACTAGAATCTTAATCCATAGTCTGGCAGTATTCACTGTCTCACAGAACACTCATACGTCTCAAGATATCTTAGAGACGTATTAATGAACGTTACTTGAAACTTGCCTGTGACGAGATATTCAGATTTGAATTTAGAATTAGATGTGATGTTTCTCAGCTGAATCGGGATTACAAATATAATCGTCAAATATAATGTTCCACATACACATCATATGATTCAGGTAAAGAAACTTAACTCTAAATTCACAGATCTAAATTCAGAGATCTAAATATCTCATGTGGGAGACAAGTTTCAGGTAACGACTGTTAATGCAGGTCTCTAAGACCTATAATAGTAGTTATTACTTGAAACTCGTCTCAAATGAGATATTCAGATTTGAGTTAAAAAATTAGATAAGAGTTTTTCAGTTGAATCGCGATTACAGATATAAGAATAAATGTCATATACTGTAATATAATTTGACCGGAAAACTTGGATCTGACTCTGAATAAAAATCTGAGTATCCCATATGAGACAAGTTCCAGGTGACAACTATTAAGACGAGCCTAAGAGACGTCTGTGAAACAATAAGACCCATAGTTAATAGTCAGTTGTTGTCACTTGAAAACTTGTCTTATGCGAAGTTCAGATGAACGTTCAGAAGTGAACGTTGGATTTTAATTCAATGTTAGATCTGAATTTTTCAGTTGACTCATATGAGTCAATCTGACACTATATCTGTAATTGTGCTTAAACTGAAAAAAGTTCACATCCAATTTTTAATTTAAATCTGAGTATCTCGTTGGAGATAAGTTTCAAGTTAAATTCAAGTGAGATAACAACTATTAATACGGGCCTAAGACGTCTCTTAAACTCTTCTAGGCATACGTGTCGCGTAGAATGTGGTCTGTCTTGTCATCGTAGAATTTAAATAATGGTATCCTCGATAATTGTCGTTGTGCACACTACGTTATGTAGTCGTTGTGCAACGTCCGTCATCGCGGAGATTACATCGTGATCTCTCAGAGTCGCCGTCCACTTCTTCTTGACTAATGATCAAACGATCGCGCTCGTGATTAGCGTGTGTATACATATTCGTCCTCGCGTCGCAAAGCGTGCGTTATGAAAAGACTCCCGCGAGGATCGGCAATATCAGGACGACCAGCGTCGCCAGTTTTCCCGACGACGCGTTGCACGCATCCGCATCGCTGCAGGACTGCACGCATCCGCGCACATACCTGCGGAACATAAGACGTGTCAGTGTTCAGAGACAATTTATTTGTTCAAGTTAGCGTTCCTACAATTTCTTTGTTATCATATCACGCTGTCTTACTTGTCGTCGAAGTAGAAACCGCCGCAGTGGGACATTCTGATGATCTCGGAGTCGGTTGTCAAAGTACCGCTGTCTAGCGCGCAGCCCCTCACCATAAGGGACACGCCGGATTCGTCTGGTATAATTTAGAAAGAAATAATTAAATTACAGTTAAATTAAAGCAATATTTCTTGCGGAATAGAGATCGCGTCAGGAAGTCATGGAAATAGCCGTGTGAAATTCTCCAGTTTAAAATGATGGATACAAAAACATATAACATTACATAAGATTCAGCCTGAATTTCGATCAAAATCAGTGAGAATCGATAAGATAACGGTTGATTTATTTTGAAAGTCAGACTGAACGTAATGTAATATCTTCGTTTCGTATCCATCATTTTAAGCAGGGTCGTGCTTTGAAAGAAGGGAGATTACAATGTCGCGAGGTTTTCCGCAAGCTTGTGACGTATTTTCTGGAGAATTTCAGGCGACTCGTCTTCGGACGCAAGGCTAAATCTCGAAGAGAGACGCGCGAAAATTCGAGATTCAGGTCACGTCGCGGTAGCTCGTGAATTTACCGTACACGCCGGCGATTTTGATGCAAGCCGTCGCCGGAAAGAGGCCGTCGCGCCCTTTTCGACCGCCCAAGCAGGGCGACTCTAAGAAGGCGAGGCTGCCATTGTTATGAAACGGGTCGTCGCAAGGTTTGTTGTCGCCATCGATCGAGACGCACTTGAAGCAGTCGATGGCCCATCCTGCAGAGCAGATCAGTCGAGCTCGTTCATCGTTGAGCGGGAAAAATGTGGCGGATATAGTTTTATGATCAAGCGCTCCGTCTGGGACATTGTTCGCGTCGCAGTGCAGCGTTTATCGAACAGAATATACTATGTTCTATACACGCGAGGATTACAAGCGCGAGAGAGATTTACATGAACGCGAGAGAACATCTCAACGATTATTCACAAAGCTGCCCTGACGAGCGGCGTCAACGCGAGCTATTTTTACGCAAAATCGCGCGAGCTATACACCGTCCTCGAGCCCCCGCAAAACGGTTCGTCCTCGAAACGGAAGTGTGCAATTCACGTATCGATCCCGTTCGCGCGCGAGATTCGCCGATCGAGCTTCGTGCCCCGTCCGAGATCTGATCTTGGTAGGAAGTAAAATCGAAATTGGAATACTAAGAGAAGAAGAAACAGAAAAAAATGAAGAAGTAGAAAGAGCGCGTCGCACTGCCCGATCATTCACCGACCTCTTTGGAAGTATACGAGAACAGTCAACGCGAGGCAAAGAATCCGGGGAGTCCCCGAGCTCATGCTTCAAGACTCGGCAATTTGAAGGCACTTCGTTGCCGATTGGTACCCTCGTTGTCGCACCCCAACGTCAGCTTTCACATTCCGGCCGATACCACGCGAATTCCACGCCGGCGATCATGTCTCAGTCACTTCAACAACTTCAACGCCAGCCAACCCGACTCGGCCGGCTTCTCCAGCGCTGCACGGCGATCGTCGTCGTCGTCGTCACAATGTCAGGATGATCCATAGGACGTAGCAAAGACTAGCGAACGATCTTGCCGAGAGCCACGACTTGTCGACTGTGTTACAGTCGTCTCTATGCGTCTCGACGACGTAGTGTTTTGACGGCCGGTTACCAAGGAGATTGCACTGACGTCGTCATCGTCGGCGTGTCGTCATGTAGACCGCGATCTCGCCCTGCCAAGATTTGTGATCGATGACTTCTAATAAACGTCGTCAACGTCGTCGCCGTCGCCGTCGTCTTCGTTGTCGGTGAATCGATAAGTCTTCATTCTTCGCAGTCCGCGACTGAATTTGAGGTTGGCTTCGACCTCTTCATACGCGAACCCTGGACGCGTTACTTGCGTGATCTGGCTGCTGTCGCAGCACACGCACGTGCGACACGCGATTATTGGGTGTGGTTGGAATTTATGAGCGAACGAAAGCTCGAGGGTCACGGTGAGCATATGAATAAATGAGGGTATTTATTCGCTTTTTCTTCCTCGCGTCTCAATTAACCTTTCGTCACTTTGCTGCTGCGGTCTGAATACGAGGGAGGAACGCATTGATTGTTTTTTCTCATAGGTTGAAGTCGACGTGATATTGAAGGATCTAGACGCGTATATAAACGGGGACAAAGTAGTTTTTATTTATCCCTCTTTTCTTCGAGATATATATAACGGTAATATCAATTACATAATCCCAGCAAACACATATAACTGCTGTATAACATAGATGTAACATATGTATATATTATATAGCAGTTATGTCTGTATTTGTTGGGATAATTATGGCTGATACTTTCTTGCGTGATTAAGAAAATATTAAGATGTTCTAAAGATGTCTATGAGAGATCCTCAAGTTTTAAAAGTTTTACCTTGAAATCATCGGAGAAACGATTTTTATGATGTTTATAAAATGTTTATAAGATGTTTTATAAACATGTTAGATAGAACGTTTCGTAAATATCTATTTTTTAAGTAAAAAGTTGCGTAAATGTCATGTGAAGAAACAAGGACGATGTTAAAATCAGGTCATATTCGCACTTTATTTTTGAACTAGAGTTTAAACTTCTCTTAGCTAAGAATCAAACCTATGTAGTCAAGAGACGAACTTGTCGGTCGTAAAGAGCCTTGTTATGACATCGGTAGATGGCGATAGTTAGTTCGGTAGCACGTTTCGGCTGTACTACGCTAGTCTCTTGAAATATTTAATTGGACCCTCGGCGTAGCATTAATTAATACACGTTCTTACGATCGAATCGCATCTACGAATGTCAGTGTTAGTGTCAGTGTCAGTGTAAGTGTCACGAGTCAGTATCTGGAGTAAGATATTGGATCAGGAAGCTAGGACGAAGGACGCAGGACATCGCAATGCGGGCTACAATATATCATATATTTCCATGGTATGTTAAATTATTTATTGTACGGGATGTTATCGATTTTAACTGACATTTTAAAGTTAACTCATATTTCATGATCAAGGAAAGTAGTTCGATAGTTTCGTTAGTTAGTCACATGTAATGTGTAAAAGTCTTTTTTCAATCATTTTGCGCGTAGAACGTACTGACCCACATAGCATAAGATATAAAAGATGTCCCAAAGACATCCAGAGGATTGCTAAATGTCCGCATAAGTCTTCAGAATATCCTAAAAATATTCCAAGGACTTCTAAATGTCCACACAATGTTCCCAAGATATTCCTTCAAGATCTTATGCTATGAGGGGAAACATTTATATATTTATACTTCATATTATAGATTTTTATATGCATTTTATACTATATACGTGTATATATATATATATATATATATATATATATATATATATATATATCGCCAAATATATACTATTTGTAAATATATATAACTTTGTACACACGCGATAAAAATATAAAATATAAAATATGTATACAGTCACTGAATAAAATAAAAATTCTAAAACACTAATTTTTCTTTACAAATAGCACAAGTCGTACACAACGATACCAACAAATCCGTTGAAAATTGTTCTCGAACAAGTAGTACAAGTCAACGATGAAGACGTACAATTGGAAAATTATTCTCTCTCAGGTAATACAAACCAACGACAAGTCAGACGTTCGAAAATTTTCACTCCCAAGTAGTATAAGTCAACTACAAGTCGGAAAACTTAAAATACTTAAGTTCTTCGTGTATTACTGAGAAATGAGTACCTCTGATTGAAGAATAACGTTGACTTATATTACTGAGAAAGGAATACTGGAAAAAGGGCATAAATTTTAATATATTTTTTAACATAATATTTATACAATTTTCTCTTATACAAATATTTCTATTATATATCTGACTTTATTTATGGACCAATCGTTTAAGTGTACCAGTTAAGTGTTACAATTAAGTGTTAAATGAATTTTGAAACTTAATTTTATAATACTAATTTTACTGCGTGTGAATTATCTTTATTTCGGAAATGCATGTAAAGGTAATATTAAATTCACACGAAGTTAACTTCATACTAGTTTGGTGCATCGTCGTTTATATATGTATCGTCGAAATTGAGACAATTAATAGAAAGTTACTACCTGGATACGCTTGTAAAACGATCGATGAGAAACTATATGATGAAATTCCCATAGAGGGGGCGAACACGTAACAAAGGTGAATTTTCGAAACACTGCGAGTCTTAATCGGCCGCGCGCGTAGCTAGCCGCCGCGAGACGCGAGAAAAACGCGTCGGCATCCGGCGGCGCACCCGCATCATCGAGGAGCAATCAATTTCGCCGCTGCGGCACCGCTGTCGCGCCGCTCTCGCGTTCAAACGGCGCGCAAATGCGGACGCATGCGCCCCGCGCCACGGGCCAATCACCTCTCGCGCTAGCCGTCGCTGTCGGTCGTCAGCGAAGCAGCGCGGTCGTCCGCCTCCGCCGCGTAGCGACACTGCGGATGCCAGCGGATGCACGATGTGACTGACAGCAGTAATCAGCGAGCGAAAGCGAAATGCGTCGGTCCTACGCGCGCCCATGCGCCTGCTTTTTCACGTGAGTCTGCCCGACACTGCCGAGCACCGCCGCCGTTGGACCTGACACCGCTGTCTGCAGTCGCTGCCGGGCCGAGCACGACCACGACGATGGGTCAATCGTCGAGCAACACCGGCCACAGCGGTGAGTCCCTCGAATTCTATGCTCCTGCAGCGATACCGATCGCGTGCCGCTCGCGGCCGGCACGACCGCTTTTTTCGTGCGCGCGCGCGTGCACCCACGCACTCATGCACGCGCACACGCACGCACGTATGCACGTACGGACGCATGCACGCACGTACATGCGCGTGCACGCACGCATGCTTGACATGTGTCAACCGCGGCACGATGGAGACGGCGATCGACCGCCGATGATCGCGACGTCCGACGTGACGTCGCGCAACAACCAGGAACTGTCCTGCCTCCTCGTCGGGGAGGTTATGTTCACCACAGAACGGCCGTGAGTCTCCATGTTCATCCTGTCCTTTCCTTTTCTTCATTTGTTACGACAGAAGGGAACGAGCCTTTGCTCCCGAATTCTCCCCGAAAGGGAGAGCTGGACGGATCCGACGACAATAAGTCAACGACGAGCGTCGATCGTCGGCGCGGATCATCCGCGAGGATCGTTATCGCCTATTGAGATATTGTTTTTTAAACCCGGCTTATCGAGAACGAAAGCTCGTGTCACGCGCTCGTTGCCTGGCGTCTGAGTAAGCGTTTTTTATACTATTAGCATACGTCATTTATAGTTTCTGCTGAAACATGATTTGAATTATTCATCCTAATTTAGAGGACTAACTTTTTTTTCTTGTTTGTCCGACTGATACAACGGTGAGCACGCAACGTGTACGATATCACGCGATCTTTAAATGCTGATACTTTTCTCACTTTTACCGACGTGTCTTCTGTTGACGCCGTCTGGAGGCGACATCTGCCTCAAGACGCACGGTTTCTCGCTCGCTTGGTAAAGAAATTAAGCGCGAGTTCTGACTTTCTTAGAAATTCCAATAATTAGTGGAAGACCAGATATACTAATTTTATATGTTTCCAAACGTTGAGTTTCCACAAAATGTGAAAGTTCTACGGAAATATAGCGTGATGAGTATCTTGTCGAGGATATTATACGCATCGTATCTCGGCAAGAGAAGAGAGCTGATGTCCATAATTTATCATTTGACAGTGAAGATTAACTGCTTTCTCAACATTGACCTCTTCTCCGAAACTAAGTTTCCCTCGAAGAGATCTGCCATATTATATATAGATTCCGCACAACGGCCCCTCCTCTTTCAAGGCGCAGGCACGTTACGCAGAACAGCAGTCTGCAGCAAGGGAGAATTCACACCTTGACAGAAAAGTAGAAAGACAAAAGCCAATCGGAACTCACGCTGGTAGTCAGATGGTAGTCGGCAGTTTCCTACCAACGCGAGTTGTGATTGGCTTTAGCTCTTCTGTTTTCTGCTTTTCTGCTAACGTGTGAGTTCTGCCTAAAGCTAGAATCGTACGATGCATGACTTCATGACTTCTTGCACTGACCGACAGTTCACTGCATGAATTGCTATCGTGCATTTGAAAACCAATGCAGCAAAATGAGCTGTCGATCAGTATACATGTAAGAAGGCATGCAATCGTGCATCGTGCGATTCCAGCTTAACGTTAAGTAGCGCGATATAATTGGATTCCGCAACATTAAACTGAAAATGCCAATATCGCGCACGCGCGATACAACGTTTTTCGACAGCGCGCGATGTTTTGCCAGCTGCATTCCTCCCGAGCCAAACGCATCTTTCGATTTTATTTCGTAAAGGTTGGGTTTCAAGGCTTGCAAGATGGTACCGCACCCCCGTGCTTCGTAGCACCCGTGGCTACCTATCGCAGGATCCGCCGGCGTGTACCTCGCTGTGCTCGGTCGTGGGCCACAGATGGTATTGTCATATGGCAGACACAGAGGCAGGCCCTTCGAAGGCAGTAAAACCGCGATTGCACATCCGCACAAATCCACGACAGACCCGACGCGGGCACCGATGCCTCCTCTTCCCAATTATCTAATCGACGTCACGCGAACGGTTGCCTCGGACACACACACGTACTACATACGCGCACATGGCCTGCTTCTTTTTCTCTCACTCACCGACGAACGACGCGTTGTCTGATGCCTTAACTCCTCGATACTACGGGGGCAACGTCTCTAGTAGGCGAATCATTCGTCGAATCATTCGCCTCTCGCGACTCTGAGAAAGATGAGAAGGAATTCTAAGGAAATCTACACGCAAGACCGGAGCGAGTCGATACCGTTGAACGATATTTCTCTCGTCGCTGAAGCATTGAAC